GTATGGGGATACCTTGGACACATGTCCAAAGAATGCCATTCACGCTTTTGACATATACCACTTCAAAATTGTGTAAAATAGGGCTTTTTTGCTATTATCGGACCAAAAATGTACATTTTTGGCTCCTGTGCCCTAATATTAAATCCGAATGACCTGAAATTTGGTATGGGAATACCTTGGACACATGTCCAAAGAATGTCATTCACGATTTTGACATACACCACTTTAAAGTTATGTAAAATAGGGCTTTTTGGCTATTTCCGGCATTGGAAGGTTCCATTTCTGCATGGGGGTGTAGACTATTGGCAGCCATCGTAGGATGGATCCATTTTCGGTATGGGGGATAGGGTGAAGCCATCTGCTGCATTTGCTCTCAAGCAAATGTCGGCCTTTCTAGTTTTCACAGTTTTCGTTGGATTTTTGGTCAAAGTTTCATCAAAATTTTGCTTGTTGCAGACAAAATTTTTTTTCTGACATGACATTTGGAAACGACAGACGGGATGTTAACCTTATATACGCAAATACAACCTTATATGAGACATTCTGCTGAAGTGCTTTGCACAATACATTACGGGTTTCGCGCAGGTGCAGTACGTTCTGCCGACATGTCCGACGACTGCCCACACAGCACTATTCCAGTCTATCATGAAAGTTCATCTATGTTGGTAGTTAAACATAGTAAAACGTTGAACTTTATTCCAACACACACTGACAGTTTACAGAGAGATCAAATTTTCAGCGACCACTGTCGCCTTCATCAGGATAATTAATGACCAATCACTTCACAACGTGATCTTGCGAGAGTTATGGTTTACAACTGTTCCAGTCTGTCTAGGCTATAATTCCCTCTCCTGTCTCCCTCTGAAGTCACTGAGGATGACTCTGACTTGACCACAGGTGATGCCTGGGGCCGTGGTGGCGGCCGCGGGGGCAGGGGCGCTGCACCGCCGGGCAGCGGTAGACCAGACCTGCGACGGGACGACCGCAGACAAGAGCCGCGCGACAGCAGACCCACCAGGCAGGAACCACCAGAACCCAAGAAATATGTAGAACCACCACCACCTGTAAGTATGGACCGAAACAATACACAGTTTGACACTTGTTCCTCTACTCTTCAGTGTAATATTTCTGTACACAAGCCTTGTCCATTTGTCCCAACCAAGCTTTCCAGTCTTTCTTAGAAAACTCCATATTTAGTTTCACCTTTCTATTGTATTTCTTGAAGAGTTGAAGAGAAAGGTGATTTTGTTGTGTTATATGCATAAAAACAACTTTTTGGTTGCCTGTGCACTGAAGACTTTTGGTCATTTACTTTGAACATGTTCAAAATTTGATAGTCTGAGGAATATGGACATGTTCATAGAAGTTAATCTTTACCGTGGTGGCAAGTGCAGGGAGTGGGTCTTTGTTGTGGTGGCTATGAAAAAGGTGTCCTAATATGAATATACCTGTTCCACCATGCCTTTTACTACACTTAAATGATGAAAACTGTTATAAATAAATGAATAAACCTATTCCTTGTATTTCAGGTTTTCAGTCAAGACAGCAAGTTTGCTGCCCTGTTGGCAGATGAAGAAGGGGGGGAGGGCAGCGATTGAGTCATCAGAACCCGGTTACCCAGCTAGCACCACTGTACATTCGCTGTAATCCATACTAGTAGTCAACTACTACAAAATGGGCTACCCAATATTAGCTTATGGTGTAGTGAATACGGGTGGGAGGGGGGTGGGTAAATGTTGGGAATAATCTGCAGAGGACATTTAGGGAATCGGGGTGAAGGCAAACGTTACAGATATGAGGAGTTTGATAGTTACAGAAACGAAGATTTCTCTGCAGTTTTTCTTAGCCTTCATTGGACATAAGCTCCACAGATACTAGATACTTCCAAACTCCCATAGGATGTTGAATACAATTGTAGCCGAATAGCCTTTTGTACTTGATAAGTGAGAGCACAACAAAGCCAGCAGAAATATCATTCATTATATCAGCCGCCACCCAGATTTGTGATATATGTCAGAACTGTGAATGTAATGTACATGTACTAAGTACTTCCGAATTAAAATAGTTTCATCAGGTTAGTAAAGTATAGGATACAGGAGTATTCTTTTACACAACCAAGATAGACTAACCTTGCTGACGTGTTTAAAGTTAAAACTTTTGGTCCAACACAAAAATTCTCTCACCTAGAGCTTTCGACCAGTCACTCTGGTCTTCCTCAGTAGACTGACCCAGTGAGGCTTGTCACGTGGTTTCTTTGAAGTGTGATGTCAACACTGAGTCAAGTGACCAGAGAGACTGGTCGAAAGCTCTAGGTGAGAGAATTTTTGTGTTGGACCAAAAGTTTTAACTTTAAACATGTAACTACCAACACAGATGAACTTGCTTACGTTTCAGTGTCTATCAGACACCTTCCTCAGAGCTTCTGACTGGAGTTCTGCTTCTTGCCGCTATATGTAGCCGATGTAGTGGCGCTTTTGTGTCTGATAGACACCGAAACGTAAGCAAGGTTAGTCTATCTTGGTTGGTTTTAAATGAAAACTCCTTTATCCTACATGTAGGTACATGTACATGGACTATTGTACTGAATAGTACACTACACCCTTGGTTCTTTGCAGCACTGTACAAGACTTTTAATTTTACATTTACTGTACATGTCTCACATTAATTAAGCTTGGCCTTTCCAATTTTGTAATCTGAGTTTTACCAAGTTTTTGTTGCCATGCACAAACAGATGTTACTTGCAAAACGCTGAATACCAGGTTGTAATAAAAAACTAATATGAAAATTCTTTTGATATCGATTATGT